CCCCCCCCCCCAACCCCCCCCAAGTGGTAAAGTTCTGCTTTAAGAGTCATCATCATAAATATACACTTAGCAACTATAAAACATTTAGTACTGCACTTAGTATTTATGCAATGATTTCCAGAAAATTTACTAACTTTCGCAGAATGCTTTTGCCATTCACACATTATCATAAACATTCCACAGAAAAACACATTTCAAAGAAGCATTTCAGTTTTGAAAAGCTCTGGAAAATAAAGGAGAGAAGAGAGCAGGTGGAGATAAAAAGATATATATAGATATAAAGGAAAAAAAAGAAACAAAAACTAAGAAGCACTTTATAGCTTCATCTATTTGCATTTGCTCAGTGCGTGCTGTGGACTATTACGTGGTAAAGCTTTCTAAACATTTCCCTCACCCTAAATCTAGCAAAAGTTGTGCTGGGGGAATTACTTATGGCAAGACAATGAGAATTTCACTTCAGAATGTTGTCTATATCCACATATCCACTGTGTGTTGTTTTATGGCGTGCTTTTTTATCTTTTAAAGGGTTTTTCCACTAAAATGACGGGTGTGCTTTAAACTTCTCTGTGTAGCAATAACCTCATTTACATTCAACTTGTTATTGAATAGGGGTTTTCTACGTGTAGATTTATTCAATCTTTATAGATTGAAGCAACTGCAAACTATATACAGTATTTAAGTGTATTTCCACTTTAGCAGCCAATTTGGGATAACACATATTTTATATTTGTTACATGTTCCCATTCACATAGCATAAGCTAAAAAAATGTTTCTTGCAGTTTAAATAACTTTTACTTGAGAGTTAAAATTTCTTCTTGCATCTATTTCTTTAAAATGTTAGAAGGGGCTGTCTTGTCCATTAAGAGGTGGCTTGTCCATTGTATGTTAATGAAGCTTATCAGATAAACACAATCCTCAAATTTCAGTCCCAAACACTTTCTATTAGGACAGACCACTGTGAAAGGTGCTGAGAAAAACCTGGAATCAGCCATCTTGATGTTATTTTTCAGTATGCTGTTTGAACGGGAACACATATAACGTAGATATGAAGGGGTTTTCCTAAATTTCAATGCAAAAGTGGAAATACACTTCAAAGTGAATGTCTAGCCAAAAAGCTTTTGTTGTTGTTTATTTTTTTTGATGTGATGAAAAATCTGCAACAGGGACACCAAGGTCAGCAATAAATAGCTGACAGGTACTCTAGCCTTCCATTACATTTTTTATTTCTGTGTATATTGCAATTGGAGATCCCCATAACATCCTGTCTGCCAAAGATGTTGTCAGCAGGACAGGAAGTGAGTGCTCTCTCCCAAGATAGAAGTGAAGACCCAAGAGGTTCTATTCCTTCACTACTCAATCCAAAGTTAAAAAAAAAAAAAAATATTGTATATTTCTTTCCCTTACATTCAGTATTTTCATACTACAGATCAATACAGCTGCATTTCTTGTGCCTTCATTCTCAGCATTTAGGCCACCAAACAGCTCACTGATGATCAGATAATCTTGTATCCCATAGCAATGAATCAGATTGCTGAGGACTCATTACCATTGCTTTAGAAAGGGTCATATGCTAAATCTCTCCCACACTGACTGCCTTTAGGACCTTTGGGTCTGTCTCCCACTCTGACTGCCTTTAGGCGATCCCTTAAGACTCATCTCTTCAGGGAAGCCTATCCCACCACAACCTAACAGCTCAACCATCATGTTCTCAGACAATTCATCCCCACACAGCTACCTCCTCATGTATCACTTCCCCCTCCCTTTTAGATTGTAAGCCCTCAGGGGCAGGGCCCTCCTTACCATCTTGTCTTGAATTGTATTGTGATTGTAATGTCTTCCTTATATTGTAAAGCGCTGCACAAACTGTTGGCGCTATATAAATCCTGTACAATAATAATAATAATAATAATAAATGTAAAAACAAATACACCATTGCTTGTTTTAACACTTTTCAGCATAAGTTGGAATTCCCAATAAGCTTACAGTGGGAAGCAGTTCTGATATTTAATGAATAATTTCATGGTATTATAAAAAGTGTGGGCAAATTAGATTGCATGTTTCCTAGCAATAGCCAATAATTAGGAATGTGATCCGGGTTCTGGTTGAGCATGCTGTCGAACCTAACCTGTGTGCAGTTCTTGGACCCGGCAAACTAATCCAAAATGTTGCTGCCATAGCAACCGACTACCAACTTCCAGGGCTTTGAAATTGACTTAGAAGGACCAATAAGGTTTTTTTTTAAGATAAGCCAGTCCCCTTACTATAAAAGGTTGCTTTCACAGCAGCCATTTTGAGAATTTGCTTAGCTGCAAAAGAGAAAGCACATGGAGTGCTGCTGAAGATATGCATAGGGACTGGCTGGTGTCTTAAAGAAGATGTACAGGTGAAACTCGAATAATTAGAATATCGTGCAAAGTTCATTTATTTCACTAATGCAACTTAAAAGGTGAAACTAATATATGAGATAGACTCATTACATGCAAAGCGAGATAGTTCAAGCCGTGATTTGTCATCATTGTGATGATTATGGCTTACAGCTCATGAAAACCCCAAATCCACAATCTCAGAAAATGAGAATATTACATGCAATCAATAAAACAAGGATTGTACATAGAACAATATCGGACCTCTGAAAAGTACAAGCATGCATATGTACTCAGTACTTGGTTTGGGCCCCTTTTGCAGCACTTACTGCAATTACTTTTGCACGATATTCTAATTATTCGAGTTTCACCTGTAGGCCCTTTCTGGATGTCTTTTGGGGAAGCAAAATGCTGTGCATCTTAGGACAATTTTGTAGCAGGGGGAAGTCTAAATGCTGCTGATATGTATCCTGCAGCTTCTTTACAACCTGCACTATTGAGAAGTCATAGCAGGATGCAAGTGTTTTTCAAATGGCATATTTGTGCTGGTTGTATTTGATTTTTTTTCACTGACTGCCTCTGTCCACATGCATTACACCGATGACTGGTTGCATGTGGCTTTTCCATTGGCACATTTCTTAAATTCTGCCGGCTTCAATTGATTTTTTTCACAACCTGTCCCTGTCCACTGATAACCGGCTGCATGTGTTTTTTTTTTCACAGGGCATATTTCCTAAATGCTGCTGCGGTTTTTTAAAGGCCTTTACAATGTAGTATTCCTGGGCAATGTGCGTCAGGACAAAAGCTTATTTTTTTCTCTGAATGGGGCATGTGATAGGATGATATACAGGCAGGAGATTGTGGGAGACAGAAGCTGAGCATTATTCAAATGGGACCCATTGCACTCCTGACCGGATTGTAGTCTTAAGTATTAGGTGGGCGCCAGAGTGAAAGCAGATGCCTCCGCATGTAAAATAAAAGTCACTTGCACTCCAACTTGATTTTAATGAATATTTATTGACTTTTGTAGATCATAATAACTATTGATATCAGTATCACCAGTTGTAAAAGTTTATATCATTGGATTTCTATTTTCTTTAACCAACTATGCTTCATTTCTTTAAATTTTAGCTCTGGGGTACATTTTCTTATGTGCCCTGTCTGTTTGCACAGATCTGTACACCCAAATACCCTTTTAAGGGCCGGTGCACACCTAAGCAACACCACGCGGCAATTGTGCACGATACCGCGCAGATTGCCACGCGGTCAGGAGTAGCCCAGGTGTGCACCGATCGCGCTGTGGGTGGCATTAATTTCCAATGGCACCCCAGTCGCGCCAGGTGGATTGCGCGGTTCCCCGCTGCAATGCCGCCGTGCTTCTTAATACGATCGTGGCTAAAACAGCCGCGCATCGTGTATCGCAGAAAAAAGGTACTTGCAGGTACTCGCAGGAAAAAGGTACTTGTACCTTTTTTCTGTGATACACAATGCGCGACGGGGATGCCATTGGAAAATAATGGCACCCACAGTGCAATCGGTGCAAACCTGGGCGAAAGTCGTGCGATGGTTGTAAGGTGTATGGGCAGTTTTACTGTAACCTTGCTCGTAATTAGTGACAACTTCCCAATTACTCTCTGCTGGATTATGTATACATTTCAGTAACGCAAATTCCACCAAAAAGTGTACTAGAGGAAACCAGAAAAGGGTGGACTAGAGTAATTAGCAGAGTTTTTTCAAATATTGTTTCCTGGAAAGCTGAGGAAGAAGAAGCCTGATGATGTTAGTCTTCCAAGATGCATCTTGAAGGTAGAAGGCTATCAAGTCTGCCTCTGACAAAGAAGTACTGGACCCTGATTTTTATATTCATCATTACAATGTAATATTTTCAGCACAATCTTTTGCATTTTGGGTCAGTTTTGAGGCCATCCATGGGAATGGCCATTGTTTACTTTAAGACTTTAGGTCCACTTTTAGTATTGGCATATACCTCTACATCACGGCAGGGCAAAATGTCTCACTTGTACTCCTGAATTCTTTCATAATTTAAACATCAAATTATTTTTGTCTGTTTTCATACATACAATCATATATTGTTTTGTCAGTATTTCAGTAACAGATGTCAACAATTATATTATCATACTTGACAAACATAATCATTTATGACTGGGCTTTCCTACACTTTCTTTATCCAAGAGGATGTGGCTCTGACTAATATGGGCCTGATTTTAGGAGCTATGTGGTTCTTGAGTCAGGTTATTTGGGTTAGTGTGGATGTGGCTGGTACACTCAGAAGTAGCTGATACACTCAGAACCATTCCTAATTTTATAAGTTCCTATAAGAGATTCTGAATTGATATAGGAGTACTGCGAGATATTCTGTCATGTACCTCTGCTATAAAATATAAGACTATTTACCGTTGGATATATTTAGAATTTTGTGACTTCATAATTTTGAAGCTCAACACTGAACAGATATAAAATATGCAAATCAATGCAGTTCCATATTTATTAATACATCAATAATATTATTTTAAAATACTAGCAGTGTAAGTACCTACATTTGATTTCACATTAGCCTTTTTAATGCCTATACAGCAGATATAATTGGGAGAGGGAGAAGCAGTACAAGGCGCCAATCAGTTCACATGCTCACATAAGGATATGCTAGGCTCAAAGTAAA